GATCTGAGCATCAAACTCAGTTAGGATGTGGCTGAAGTTGTCTGGGCAACAGGTCACAGGGACCTGGCCCCAGGTGGGATACTGGAGATAAGCTGATGGTAAAGGTGTTTTTGAAGGACTTGCTGTAGATTGGGTTAGAGACGGAGAGGGAGAGAGAGAGGTCAAGGATAGTCCCGATATTTCTAAACTGAGCACCCAGAGGATGACATTGTCATGAGCTAAGGTAGAAAAAACCATGGGGTTGAGGGGTGGGGGATCAGGGGCTTGATTTTGCACCTGTCAGGCATCCTGGAATGGCAAAAGGGCAGTTAGAGATATGAGTCTGGTGTTTGAAGGAGAAATTGGGCGGAAGATGTAAATTTAGGAGTTGTCAGTTATAGGTGGTGTTTAAAGCCATGCAGCTGGATGAGATCACCAAGGGAGCAAGTGAAAAAAGAAGCAAAGAGAACCCAGTTTCTCTAGAGCTTAGAGGTTAGAGGAGGAGAAGCCAGCAAGAGCTGGAACAGGTATGACAAGTGATGGAGGATAATGGAAGGGGACAGCCAGAGACAAAGTCACCCTGTAATGCAGCCTGCCTTTCTCTACGTCCACCCATCCCCTGGGCAGCTCCTAGACCTCAGAGACCCATAAAGTCCAGCCTTCCCCTTCTATGTGTTATCCTTCATAGACCTAAGGCAGTGCTAGTGCCCTCCGTGGACTACTGTAAGCATCCCACCATGTTCAACCATGCTTTCTCACATCATTTCCAGCTCTTCATCACTCAACTCACCCTACCATGCCCACTCCTCTTGTCTGTCTCTCTCTTACCAAGCAGGGTTCAGTACCAAGCAGGACTAGCCTCTGCTTCCATTTTAGACTTTCTGTCTTTGGACTCCTGGTGTGGTGCTGTGTGGATCAGCACTGGACTGTGAACCACAAGGTCAGCAGTTCCAACCTGCCAGCTGCTCCTCAGAAACTTTATAACACTATGAGTGGGAACCAACATGACAGCAATTAACAATAACAACATCTTTGTTAAGGGGTCCTGGTGTGGCACTGTAGGATAAATACTGGCCTGCTAACCACAAGGTCAGTGATTCAAACCAATCAGTTGCTCCTCAGAAATCCTGTACAGGATCGCTGTGAGTTGGAACCTACTTCACAGTATTAACAACAACAATGACAACCTTTGTTAATGCAAAGCCTTTTTGATAGCAGCATATCCAGAAGACATAAATGGGAAATAGCAAAGGGTTTGGGCTGGCAAAAGGAAAGGATTGTGAGGAAGGGAAGTGAGATTGGGAACATCCTAAAAGGGCATTGGGTTTGATCAAGGACAGTCTGAACTACCACATCAAGAAGTTTGGATTGAGGAAAGACAAGGGATCCATAGACCATTCTGAATTAGAGGAGCAACACAGATGAATTTTGCCTCAATAAGAGCCAGGCTGGGTTCTATTTCCTGGTCTTCTCCTTAGTTAGCTCTCCCATCCTCACAGGTGAGCTCCGGCATGGGGATGAGCAGGGTGTCGGGCAGGTGAGGGGTAGTAGCTGCAGAATCAGAGGCATCACAGATCAAGGAGGGCCCCAGGGATGGCGGCAGCTTCGCTGGTTTCTCCAAGTTTCCATGAGGGTAATGAGGCTTATATTAATGAGAGGTAATTATGGGCACCCAGTGGGCCCAAGTATAGCTCAGAGACAAAGGCTGTGTGAGGCAGCCAGCTGGTTCCTGCTGTAAGACCGAGCTCTGACTATTTTAAGACCTTCCCAAGGTGAGGCTCCTACCACCCAAGGGTGCTGACAGGCTGGTACTCACTGGACTAGGAACCCTGGTTGAGAAAGTTTGGAGGGAGTCAGTGTGGCCCATCCTCACTGAAACAATCTACTCCCAGACAGAGAAACTGAGACCAGTCCAAGGTCACAGCAAGCTAATAGCAGAGCCAGGATTTGAATTCAGGTCCCAACCATGCATGCTCCACTTTGCTAGATAGCATGCCAAAACTGGAAGCCTTGACCTGCTCCCAGAAATATGGTATAGCATGACTGTTATTCATTGAGCACTAAGTTCCAGCGGCTTTTTATATGACATCACCATTAATCCTCATTATAATCGTTAAAAGTAGAGCTGTCCCCATGTAAGTCGCCAGAGGTACCAAAGTGAGGAGGGAAAGAAGTAATGCCCAGTTCTGTCTGTCTTAGATCAGTTTCCCCAGAAAACAAGCTCAGAGATTTGCACATGGGAGTTTATTGACCATGGTCTTGGAGGACATCAAGGTCAATTAGCATAGCATAGTCCACAAAGATGTTCTACATCGTACTTTGGTGAGTACTGACTGGGATCTTAAAAGTTGTGAGCAGCCACCTATGGTGCAACTACTAGTCTGTCCCCATCCACAGGCAAAAGAGTGAAGAAAATCCGAGACACATGGAAACAAATAGTCCAGTGGTCTAAAGAACCATCAAAGCTCAGCCGCCATGATCCTGAGACCAGAAGACCTAGAATGAAATCACAATAAAGGGTCCCAGATGAGTGGGAGAACAATATGGAACAAAACTCAAAATCATAAAAAATAAAACGAAACTAGGCTTACTAGTTTGATAAAGATTCGTGGACCTCCTTCAAGCCTGGAACTGAATTCACCCCCATTGCTCAATTTTCAGCCAAATGATAGAAGACAGGCCTATAAGGTGAACAGTTACCCTAAGGAAGTATGCACCCCATAGAAGAGTCACCAATATGAGAACAAAAGGCCAGCATTGTCCAAGTAGTAATGCTCAGAAGGCAAGAAAGGATAGGAAAGGAGGAGGAATGGAAACAGTAAACACAGGGAGGAAATGGGAAGACTGCTGTTATGGAAACAGTAAACACAGGGAGGAAATGGAAGACTGTGGAGATTGTAATCAATGTCACAAATCAAAATGTGTATGAATTGTTGAATAGAAAACCAATTTTCTCTGTAAATTTTAACCCAAATCACAATCAAAAGTTCCATTTTTAAAAAAAGCAAGTTTATTGGGAAATCTCAACGTGTCCAGGGAGCAGGATTGAGTAGAAAGAGGAGTTGAACTATATATAATACAGTCACAACAAAGGCCTCAGCTAATCCTGTGGGCAGCTCTGGAGCTGGGATGGCCCTTCTGAATTGGGGCGAGAGGGCCAAGCCTCTGTACCCCCACATCAACTGGTTATTGGACACAGGCTGCCCCGGAGAAGACCCATAGCCTCGGATGCACCATCTCTTTGGCTAAAAGCAGTTCCTGGGCAGGACCTCAGCTGTGAACGTGAGCAGCACTTGCTGGAACAGCAGGTGGGGATCTGGGAGGCCACCAGAGCACCTGCCTCACGTCCTGCAGCACTCATCCTTTCAATCATTTAGAGAGTGTAATTCAGGTTCCTAAGTGCATTCCAAGTGTTGTGCAGCCATCACCACTGTTGAGTTCCAGAACATTTTCATCACCCCAAAAGGAATCCTGTTCCCATTAAGCAGTCAGTCTTCTCCTCCCTCCCCAACCCTTTGTTACCACGAATCTACTTTTGGTCTGTATGAGTTTGCCTATTCCGGACATTTCATAGAAACGACATCCTACATAGATGCGAAAGCCTCTTGTATCTGCTTTCATTTAGCAAAATGTTTCAAGGTTCCTCCATGTGGCATCCTTCATTTCTTATTATCTCTAAGTAATACTAATTATGTAGATCTCTATCACATATTCTTTATCCATTCATCTATTAATGGATACTAATTTGTACTTTGGTGCTCCTGTGAATAAGCTGCTATGAATAAGTTGGAGTGGATGTTCTGGAGGCATGTGGACAGAGCTTGGGTGTGTGGGTGGGGGTCTCCTCATGGTGGGCTCCCTCATGGTGAAGGACAAATTCAGAGAAGGGAAGAGATGCAGAGTGGGCAGCTAATTGTGCCCCCACTGCCATATTCCAACACAGAATTCCAAGTAGACCCAAGAAATCTGAGTTCAGACCTGGCTTTCCAGGTAATTATGAAGATAAATGTATTCATCAAGGTAGGAGAGGAGAGCGTATTTTGTTAAACAGTTTGTTAGCTTGATTTGGAACTTTTAAATATCTATACATAAAGTTGGGGAGTCTTGAGGTAGTGCTGTAGGTTAAGCACAGGACAAGTAACTACTACAAGGTCCACAGTTCAGACCCACCAGCCAGCCACTCGTAGAAACCCTATGCAGCAGCTGTGGGGAACATCTGGCCCATATGCTGTTGTTAATTGCCTTCACTTGGCCCTTATACAGCCCATGAAATCATTTGTTCTGACTCTACCAAGGCATCGGTGGTGGTGGTTATGTGCTGTGGAGTCGGTTTTCGACTCGTAGTGTCCCTGTATAGGGTTTCCAAGGCTGTAAATCTTTACTGGAGCAGAAAGCCTCATCTTTCTCCTGAGGAACAACGGGTAGTTTCAAACTAGCTGACATTGAGATTAGCAGCCCAACTCGTAACCACTACGCTACCAGAGCTCCTTAGCCATCACCTTTGTTGTTGTTGTAATGTGCCATGGAATCGGTTCCGACTCATAGCGACCCGGTACAGGGTTTCTGAGGCTGTAAATCTTTATGGGAGCAGAAAGCCTCATCTTTCTCCCGCGGAACAGCTGATAGTTTCAAACTGCTGACCCTGAGGTTCGCAGCCTGATTCGTAACCACTACACTACCAGAGCTCCTTTAGCCATCACCTTAGGGGTGAGTTAACTAAATGTTTGACCAATATAGCAGGCTAATTTTTAAGTTGATAATTTTGTATGGTCTGCGAATGATGTTATAAACTTTGACAGAAAAAAGGTTTCCCGCCTCTGCTATACAAGGTCACTGTGAATGGAAAACTACTCGATGGCACTTAACAACCACCACCGCATACATATAGTAGGTGCAGCTCCACTGGGCCTCTTGGCCTGGCCTCCACATTATCAAGCTTTTCCTAACTCTGAGATCTGTGCGAGTCCGAATGACTGCCCTCAACTGTCTGACCCTTCTCTGTCTTCTCTTCCCAGGATAGCTGCTGCCCGGGAAAGGCAACCCGGGCGCCCTATTAGGGCGACGGTCCCTGCCCCTTGGGCCAGGATCATGAAAGGCCTCGGTGACAGCCGCCCCCGCCACCTCTCTGACAGCCTGGACTCACCACATGAGCCCCTGTTTGCAGGGCCTGACCGCAACCCCTACTTGCTGTCACCCACGGAGGCCTTCGCCCGCGAAGCTCGCTTCCCTGGACAGAACACTCTACCAGGGGACGGCCTTTTCCCACTCAACAACCAGCTGCCACCACCCAGCAGTACCTTCCCCCGCATCCACTACAATTCCCACTTCGAGGTGCCAGAGGAGAGCCCCTTCCCCAGCCATGCCCAGGCCACCAAGATCAACCGGCTGCCTGCAAACCTCCTGGACCAGTTTGAGAAGCAGCTGCCCATCCACCGAGATGGCTTCAGCACGCTCCAGTTCCCCCGCGGTGAGCCTAAGGCCAGAGGCGAGAGCCCTGGCCGCATCCGTCACCTGGTCCACTCAGTCCAGCGGCTCTTCTTTACCAAGGCGCCTTCACTGGAGGGCACGGCGGGCAAGGTCAGTGGCAATGGCAGCAAGAAAGGTGTCCTGGAGGACGGCAAGGGCCGGAGGGCCAAGAGCAAGGAGCGGGCCAAAGTCGGGGAGCCCAAACGGCGCAGCCGCTCCAACATCTCTGGCTGGTGGAGCTCGGATGACAACTTGGATGGTGAGGGTGGCCCCTTCCGCAGCAGTGGTCCTGCTTCTGGGCTGATGACCCTCGGCCGCCAGGCAGAACGCAGCCAGCCGCGCTACTTCATGCATGCCTACAACACCATCAGCGGGCACATGCTCAAAACCACCAAGAACAACACAGCCGAGCTGACTGCCCCACCACCCCCACCCGCTCCCCCAGCCACCTGCCCCAGCCTTGGGGTGGGGACTGACACCAACTATGTCAAGCGGGGCTCCTGGTCTACTCTGACCCTCAGCCATGCCCATGAAGTCTGCCAGAAGACCTCAGCCACCTTGGATAAGAGCCTACTAAAGTCCAAATCCTGCCACCAAGGTCTAGCCTACCATTACCTGCAGGTGGGTTTCTGTCAAGGGGGAGGGGCAGGGGCAGGGTGAGGAAGAGGCACCAGCTAAGCAGCCCAGCTGTGCCATAAATTCACTTGGGAAGTTGCTTCACGCTGGGGCCTTCTGTTTACTGGACTATGAAATGGATGGCTGTGATACCTGCTAATAAGAGAATTCCTCTCATTGGACACACTCCAGAAGATGTTAACTAGAGCCATTCTGAGTCCAATAGAAACCAGGAGACATTGTAGGAACTGAAACATGTTCCTGTCATCGGGCCAATTCCATTACATGCTTATTGTCAACCTCATGTCTGCCTCCTCCATCAGACAGGGGGCTCCTTGAAGACCACCTTTAATGCAGTTGTATGTCCCCAAGGCCAGGACAGGGGACCCAGGAAGTAAGAAAAAGAGATGGCAGGGCTGGATGGACAGATGAATAGCTACAGAGCTAGGATAAATAAGACACAGTCTTGGTTATGGGGATGCTGGGGGAGAGTGATGGGTGTGAGGGGCATCAGTCACATGGAGGGCCTCACCCAGCTTAGGGGCTGGCTTTCTGCTTTCACATGCTGATACCCATTGAGCCATACAACAAAGTGGCATCTCCTGGCTGCACACCTCTGTGGGACTCTCAAAGTTGCTTGAGCTGCTCAGACACCTTGAGATGGAAGGGGCACCTCACCCTGGGGGCAATGTGAGCAGACGTGGCCAGCCTTGAGAACCCACAGTAGGACTGCATTTTTGAACCTGTTGTTGTTGTTAAGTGCCGTTGAGTCGATTCCAACCCATAGCGACCCTGTGTAGGGTTTCCGATGAGCAGCTGGTGAGCTTAAACTGCCAGCCTTGCAGTTCAAACGGCTTTGCAGTCTGGCGCATTAACCCACAGCGCCACAGTGAACTTTAAAAGATTTGGCAAGCCCTGAGTCCTTGTCGTTCTATGTAAAGTTCCAGGAAGTGAGACCATGGGACAGAGGGCTTTTTTTTTTTTCCAGGAGGAAGAAATGGAATCTGAGCAGTGTTTTATATCTGATTGAGGGCTCTTGTGGTTCTCAGTCCCCTTCCTTAGTCTAGAAACATCAGGGAGGGTGGTGTGGAGTCTGGTTCCCTCTCAGAATGGTGTGGTTTGATCTGATGGGGTGAAATAGCATGATCAGACAGCCCTGTGCAACTAGGCTGGCAGGAAGGACAGGGGCAGGTTTCAAGCAGGAAGGGACAAGGCCATGTTCCCAAGGGACAGGTGAGGGTTGGGTGGGGGGACAGACTATCAGGGTTTTGAGGAGGTAGAATCCACAGGCCCTAATGCCTGACTGGATCTTTGGTACCGCTAAATTGTAAGGTTAGCAGTTCAAACCCACCAGCAACTCCTTGAAAGAAAGATGAGGCAGTCTTGGAAACCCTATATATGGTCGCTATGAGTTGGTATAAACTCAGTGGCAGTGGGTATGTGCCAGGCAGTTTTAGGTGCTAAGGATACAAACAAAGGGAAAAAAAAGTCCCTAAACCTCATGGAACATTCTCCAAGTGGCAAGCATCAACAATTAATGGCAAAACAAATAATTATATACTAGGGCAGATAGACAGAAGCCCAGACTGCAAGATCAATGGTTCAAGCCCAGCAGGCCTTCTGCAGGAGACAGACAAGGCTATCTGCTCCTGTGAAGATTTACAGTCTCCGAAACCCTGTGCAGCAGTTCTACTCTGCCCTGTAGAGTCGCTGTGAGTTAGACTAGAGGAGATGGCAGTGGGTGGGTTATGACTGGCTTCGCAGTCAGCTGGAGAACTGAGGGGGGGTCTTTGAGGTGGGACCTCGGCCAAGATGTCACCTACTGGCATTCACATCACCAAGAAGGGTGTGGCCCCTGTGTGAGCTTGGTGAAGAGGGGCATGTGTGGTGAAGAATGTGTGTCGTATGCATACTGTGAGACATGTACACCTCAGTATTCATGTGAATGTGTAACCTAATAAGGTGAAGAGAGTGCGGTGGAGACATGTCAAGATGTGTCCACACGCAATGGTTACTGGGGTGTGTGTGGGAGAGGAGCGGTGTGACTGAGGTGAGTACACTCTGTGTACATATTGATTTAGTGTCCTTGGTGAGGTGGTGTATGGACACTGCAAATGCTTTCTGAGGGCTGTGTGGGAAGGGGATGCTGGCTCTTTGTGCACATTAAGATGAGAGTGTGCAACGAGGCGTGTTCCCTCTGCTGCCTGAAGTTCAAGTCAGCGCTGAAATGTGTAATGACTTCATCCTGAGGTGACATTCAGTGAGTACATGACATTAGCAAGCGAGGAGGGTGTAGCCTCAGATGGGTATCTCCTCACTGCCACCATCACCCCAGGGGATTTGAAAGCCACAAGGGTCCCCAGAGCCCATGCTTCCTTTACAGCTGTGACCTTACCTGCCCTTATCACAGCCTCCGTTCCAGGTTCAAGTGAGGAAACTGAGCCTTTTTCCACCTCCTCACCTTGTAAGCCCCTCTTACTCTGTACCTGTTTCCTCACCTGTGGGATGAATAGAGTTGATTGATTCCAAGGATCCTCCGAGTGCTCCCCCAACACGATAAGACTCCACTCCCTGGTGTGGAGACCTCACCCTCCCCAGACGCGGTCAGTGAAGTGATGGGAGCGTAACTCAGGTAGCCACGTGGACCTCATGGCCTGGACGAACCCAGCCTGGGATCCGTGGGAAATGTGAGGCAAAAAGTGGGGTAGGCGTTTGCTTAAGGCCACTTAGTGAGGTTGGGGCAGAGCCAGCTCTGGAACCCAGGTATCGTCCTTTCCAGCGACACCCCCTGAGCCTGCCTTCCACCCCCAGGTGCCGGGTGGCGGCGAGTGGAGCACCGCGCTGCTGTCCCCACGCGAGGCGGACGCCACAGGCGAGGGTCCCATCCCGTGCCGACGCATGCGCAGCGGAAGCTATATCAAGGCCATGGGCGACGAGGACAGTGACGAGTCCGGTGGCAGCCCCAAGCCCTCACCCAAGACGGCGGCACGGCGTCAGAGCTACCTGAGGGCCACGCAGCAGTCGCTGGGAGAGCAGAGCAACCCCCGCAGGTGAGCGCGAAGCCCCGCCCCTATCCCCGCCCACAGGCTTGCCCTGCCCCTAGGAGCTCCGCCCCTGAAATAAAAAGTCCCTCCCAGACAGATCTTTGGGCACAGGGCGTGCCCACCAGCAAGTCCTGCACCCCTAAAGCTTCTCTTTTTTGAAATGAGACTAGCCCCCGTGGGAACCCTTCCCACAGACAAGGCTCTGTGGTGCGTCCCGTCAGATGGGCCCCGCCCACACGTGTGTTCTGTCCGCACGTGCAAGCGCCACTCACAGAAAACTCCAGTCCCTTAGGTAAGCACCTCACAGCTATGAGCCTCTCCCCTTCCAGCCCTGCCCTACAGCCTTAGATCCAAGTCCTGTAGGTAAACCCGCCCTCAGGTTAGCGCGGTCCCTGGGAGCCACACCCTTAGATGAGTTGACTCTAGAGAACCCCGCCCACACTTAAATCCTGACCACAGACGAGTGCAGTCCTTTGGTAAGCCCGCCCATAAGGTGAATATCTCTGGTGATTGACGCAGGTAAACTACCGCAGGAGCCACATCCCCAGGTGAGTTCCATTCCCACTAAGGGCTGCCCAGAGGATGCTCTTCTTCAGGTTAAGAGAACCGTGCCCTTGGTAAGCCCATCTACCAGCACCACCCAGGGAAGACCAGAACCTTTGAAACTGACCCTCATGCTGAGCTCCAGGATTGTCGGGGGGAGAGAGCACTCGATCCAGAAATCAAAGAGAGAGACAGCCTTCACCTATCTGGAAGGCCACGATTCTGCCCTCACCCAGTTGCTTTAAGACTTGGAAGAGTTAATGGAAATGAGCTTACTTCCAGTTCTTCACCTAACACCAAGCAATAGCACTGAGCAGGGAGGGAGCAGTGTATTCAGAGTAAAGGTCTAGTTGGCTGGTGCAGAAGAAAGGGGAATGAATGGGACGCTACTGGATGCTCTCTGAGCCTCAGAATCCCTGCTTTAAGTGAGGGGACTGAGCTGGATGATGACTAAGATCCTTCTAGTCCTGAGATCCTAGGATTCTGTGAGTGGCCAGAGGACATTAAGGTGATAGAGATAGGCAGACCAAAGAATAGGCCTGAATGACAGGAAATCAATAGTAGCAATATACATACTACTAACTACTACTACCATGGAGTCCTGGTGTGGCGCTGTGGGTTAATGCGCAGGACTGCAAAGTCGGTTTGAACTCCAAGGTCAGTGGTTCAAGCTCACCAGGTACTCCTTGGAAACCCTATACAGGATTGCTATGGGTCGGAACTGACTCGATGGCACTTAACAACAACAACTACTACTATCTATTAGCACTCACTGCATACTGCCCAGTGTCCCATGGTCAGCATCACTGAATCCTCACCACAGCCCCAGCAGGCTGGCAGTGTCATCCTCATTGTACAAGTGAGGAAAGACACTTAGGAAAGAGGGTCACCCAACAAGGGAGCTGGGTTCCAATTCAATCTCTTCTTGTCCAGGACCCAAATTATTGGCTGTTTGGGCTTTATCCCCAGAGCAGGGGTTGTAAAGGCCTAGGGACCAGAAAATGTGAGTAGGACGGAGGAAGTAGGGCATAGGGAGAAAGAGTGAGTCTCCAGGGACCTAGTGGAGTTCACCTGTACATTGTGGCAAAACTGAGGCCTTTTGGGTAGCCATAGCCTGAAGCCAAGATATCCAACCACTGGGATTGCCCCAGATGGGCAGAGAAGAAGGCCAACCAAATCCGTTGCCATCAAGTTAAGACTCAAAGCTTCCCTATTGGACAGAATAAAATTGCTCCATAGGGTTTCCAGGGAACTCTGATAGCGTAGTGGTTATGAGTCGGGCTGCAGTTCGAAACTATTAGCGGTTCCACAGGTGAAAGATGAAGCTTTATGCTCCCATAAAGATTTACAGCCTTGGAAACCGTCTGCAGGGTCGCTATGAGTCAGAACCGACTCCACGGCACACCACCACTACCAATCTTTACAGAAGCAGGCTGCCACATTTTTTTCCCACAAAGCAACTTATGGGTTTGAACTGCTGACCTTTTGATTAGCAGCCAAGCTCTTAAACAGTGCACTGTGAGGGCTCCTTTAGGGAGAAGGCAGAGACTGCAAAATTGGGCTATGCTGGGTTTGGGCTTAGAATGCTCTAATGCAAGCTGATCCTGCCATCTTGTGGCTGCAGTAGGCATGACAGGTGAGAGTCCCCATCCACCCTCCAGATACACCATGTTGTTGTTAAGTGCCCTCCAATCCATTCCGACTCAAAGCAGCCCTGTATAAAGTTTCCAAGGAGCAGCTGGTGAGTTTGAACTGATGATCCTGCAGCACCACACCAGAAGTCCAGATTCACCATAGGCCTCCTAAAGCTGGACACTCTCCCCTTGCTCTTCAGCTCACTGTCTTGGCGGGCAGTGACTTCCCTTTTACCTTCTGATACTGGATGGCTGTGGCCAGTCTTTCCACCTCTGGGCCTCAGTTTCCCAGGCTGAACAATGGGTGGGCTGAGCCCCATCTGCTCCCCACCTCTCACCAGGAGTCTGGACCGCCTGGATTCAGTGGACATGCTTCTGCCATCCAAGTGTCCAAGCTGGGAGGAGGACTACAACCCAATCAGCGACAGCCTCAATGACTCCAGCTGCATCAGCCAGGTGAGGGTAGTGAGCAAGTCAGTGGACCTCTGCCCCTCAGCTCACTGACTCCCGCCCAGGAAAGGGACACGTACCCGGGCCTTGTCGTGTGGTCTCCAGATGTCTGTACTACACTCCTTGTGGTCTTTGTTCTCAGGGCTGCTTGTGTGTCGTTCTGCTCCATCTGCTTCCCCTGTGGCTTGAGAAACCCACGTGGCCTCTGGTGCTGATTGTCCTGAGGGAGAAGTCACATCACTGCTGTTCTTCACGATGGGGCTGGGGGCTCAGAGGCAGGGGACTTGCCACCTCTCTTTGGGTTCAGAGCCATGAGGACAGAAAACAGGAGACCTGAGTTCAAGTCCCAGTCTTTTCTCTGACAGTATGACCCAGGACAAGTCTCTCCTCCCCAGGGCTCCGGTTCCTGACTTACGATAGGACAGGGGTCGTTCCTAGTTTAGAGGGTTGTAGTGAGGAACAAACAAGATCAACACTGAATGTGCTCAGCAAAGAGCAGCAGTAATGGTTGTGTTATCATCATCTTGCTTGGTAACCTTGGGCAAAGGTGCTTTTCTCCTCCACCTCCGTGTCCCTCTTCTTTAGGAAAAGCTGGAATCCCAGCCCCAACCAACTCTGCCACTAAGAGCAAGGAACACTCTATGTTCCCTTCTCATGTACAAGCTACTTTCCCAACTCCCAAGGAGTGTGACTCCTTGCCACACTCACCCCCAGGGATCTTCATTATCCATACCCCATTTCACAGGTAGGAAACAGAGGCAGCTCAGAGAGAAGCAGTCACACACCTGCAAAGCTGGGTAGGGGTTGTGACTGTCATACCCCAGACCTGGACACTGGCCTCTGCCACGTGCATAGTGCTTTAGTGTCTGCAAAGGGAAGACTCAAGAGTTCCCCCATGGTCTGGACAGAGAGACAGGGACTGTGTGGAGTAGCACTGTAAGAAATGGGGCATCAGGTGCCACCCAGCCTCATCACTGTAGGAATAGATAGGGCTCAGGCCCACAGGAAGGAGTCGGGACCCTGTCTCCTCACCACTCCACTGTGCCTGGCCTGGGCAAACCTTCCCAAGACCCCACCCCCAGTACTATCACTCCTAGACTCCAGGAGACTGACCTTAGATGTGAGGAAGGCTAGAGGGCCCTCTGCTTCTGCCACCCTCAACCACCAAATTTTACCTGAATGAAGATCTAACCTCCATGCTTGCCATCTCCAAAGCATTCTCAGTGGTCAGAGGAAGCTTATAAAAGACCTAAGTGAGACCAGGCCACACCCTCACTCCTCACCCTTAGTGACTTCCTCTGGACCTGCTCTCCTAAGAGTTCTGCTGCTCACTCATCTCCAGCCACTGCAGCCTCCTTTCTGCCCCTCACACCAGGGCATCTCCTCACGCCAGCCTCAGGGTCATTGCATGTGCTGTTCCACCTAGCAGGAACACTCTTGTCTCAAACCATGACAAGAATCAAGTGTCACCTCCTCAGAGAGGCCTTCCCTGACCTCTGCCTAAATTACCCCCCAGGCACTGCTCCCTCAACCTGTTTTATTTCTTGTCAGCACTTAACACTGTCTGAAACCCTGCTTATTTACTTAATGACTGTCTCCCTCTTAAGAGTATGGGGTCCAGTGGTGTCCCCAGCGTCTGGCCTGGGACCTGAGGAGGTGTTTGCTGACTCCACAGCTCCCTCTCCCTGTCTCTCTCATCCTCTCAGGTTCTCTCAGTCTTTCAGTCTTCCTGTCTCTTTCTTCCTCTGGGTTTTTCTCTGTGTTCTCTCTCCCCTAACTTAGATTTTCCTCTGCATCTCTCTAGTCTGTCTCCATCTCCATGTTTCTCTCTGAGTCTGTTTGTCTCTCACACACACCCCCATCTCTATCTCCTACTTGGCCCTGGCAACCGAAACATTCTTGCCTGTTGACAACGCAAGGCTTGTGTAATCAGCCAGCCTAAAGACCCCAGTGGCTCTCTGTCCCCATCCTCTTTACAGCTGTCTCCTTGCTCAGGGTCCTCTGACACCCCCCCACCCAGACCTATTTACTCAAGAGCTTGAGCAGCCCAAAGCTGCATATATGGCCGCACAGGTGGAGATGGAGCTCTTGGGCTGCATCTCTGAGGCCTGGATTACTATCAGAAGGAACCCCTATCCTACTAGGTGCTAGACTGCTTAGGCCCTGCCTGGGGAATAGATGACTCTGAGTTCCAACCTTAATCAATAGATCCTGGTGGTCTGCCTACCCATGTTAGACATGGCAGCTAGGGCATCTATAGCTCCAGGGGCCAGGCCAAGAGAAGGAATTGTTAACAGCAGTTTATAAGTCCTCATCCACTTCTAATCCCAGGAGGAGTAAGCCCTCATCCCAGGAAAAAGCCTCAACAAATCTGCCCCAAGTTTTCTTATAGCCAAGCCTGCATACTTGACTCAGGTTACAAAGCCTGATCCCCCATAACCTTCCCCGTCTCTTTCCTGCAGATTTTTGGACAGGCCTCCCTGATCCCCCAGTTGTTTGGCCATGAGCAGCAGGTCAGTATGGTACCCCAACCCCAGAGTCTAGGATCAGGCCTTAGGCCTGGCATCTGAGTGGTCCTAGCCTCCCACCCGGGCAGGTACAAACCAAGTCACCATCAGGAAAGTTACCAGCAATGCGGATGGAGTTGAGGTCCACCCTGGTCCCCTGACCCTCCCCTCCTTATACTAATCATTTACTTCTCTGTGCCTTGGTTTCCTCTTAAAAATGGGAAAGACTGAGGTAGGTCCTATGGATGGGTAAAGAAAGTCTTCGGGCCCCTACCCTTCCTCTTTTCCTTTACAGCCTGGGTCAGGCCTGGGAAGACTTTTACTTGAATGAACTGGGGCTGAGGTCTGGTGCTATTTTCTTTCAGCCCCCAGCCCCCAGGTCCCCTGACTTTTCTTCTTCTAGGACCCCAGCATAGCCTTTAAGGATGTTGAGCGAGTGAATGTGGAGAGTGTTTGACAAAAGTGGGTAGAGTGGGTTTCAGTCCTGGCAATATCTGGTTGCCCTAAAGATGTTCCCTACCAGACACTCCCATGCTGGCCCTGGAAATGACCCCTTCCCTCTCAGGCTCCAACCCCAAGACCAGAAATTTGGGCAGGAAAAGTACCCTGAGCTTAACCCCTCATTGTAGGAAGTGGGCAAGGGACTTGTCCTAAGCCCTGTGTCCTGCAGGCACAAAGCTAAAACTGGACCCACAGCTCCTGATCATAACCTCAGATGCCTCTGTATGTCCATATACAAAGTCCCAGAGCAGTGCCCCTCACATAGTAGGTCTCCAGTGATACGCATATGGCAACCCTGGCCAGCTCACCCCCCAGCCCCAGCTCGGGAACATCTGAATCAGCATTCGCTAATCCTCACACTCGCTCCATGGAACTGCCTGTACTAATCCACAGGTACAGTTTCCTAAGCACTTCCTCCTCCAGACACTGTTCTAAGCACATGCTATGCGTTATTTTATCTTAACAACAAGTCTATAAAATTCGGACTATCATTAGCCCCATTTTATAATTTGGGAAACTTAAGACACAGAGAGGCAAGGTCATATTGTGAGGAAGGGATGGCCCCAGAATTTGAGCCCTGTAGTCTGGTTTCACAACTGTGCCATTCTTGCAAGACCTCAATCCTCTTGGCAGTCTCAAGTGCCCCTCTGTATGCTTCAGGTCACAACAACAGGGTAACCACATCTTACTTTAATGCCTACCCCTGTGAATTTTGTCTGTGCCACATGATCTATATATTTTTAAAAGTATCAGTGTTGCCTGATAGAATTTTCTGCAATGATGGAAATATTCTATAATCCATGGTGTTCAGTTAGGTAGCTACTAGTCGTATGTGGCTGTTGAGCAAATGCAGTGTGGTTAGTGGGACTATAGTATAACCAAACCCTGTGCCGCTGGTCAAGTCTGACTCATGGTGACCCTATAAGACAGAGGAGAACTACCCCCAGAGAGTTTCCAGATCTTTAGGGAAGCAGAGTGCCATATCTTTTTCCTGTGAAACAGCTGGTGGATTTGAACTCCTGGCTTTTTTGGTTAGTGGCAAAGCACTTAACCACTGTAACTATAGCAGCCACTAGCCATATGTCTTGGTGTGGTGCGACAGGATAATGGGCTGAACCACCAAGTCGGTGGTTCAAACTCACCAGCCGCTCCTTAGAAACACTACTCAGGGTCGCTATGAGTCAGAACCAACTTAATGGCACTTAACAACAACAATAGCCATATGTGGCTATTTAGTTTTAAACTAAAGTAAAAATTTAAATTCTCATCTATATTTTAATTAATTTAAACCTAAATACACTGAATCAAGGAGCTCTGGTAGCGTAGTGGTTACGAATCGGGCTGCGAACCTTAAGGTCAGCAGTTCGAAACTAGCAGTTGTTCCACAGGAGAAAGATGAGGCTTTCTGCTCCTGTAAAGATTTCCAGCCTCAGAAACCCTGTACAGGGTCACTATGAGTCGGAACCAACTCCACAGCACATCACCAACACCAACACCAGACTGGGTAAGAGCTCTGGTAGCGTAGTGGTTACGAATCGGGCTGCTAATTTCATGGTCAGTGGTTTGAAACTACCAGCTGTTCTGCGGGAGAAAGATGAGGTTTTCTGCTCCCGTAAAGATTTACAGCCTCGGAAACCCTGTACAGGGTTGCTATGAGTCAGAACCGACTCCACAGCACATAACCACCACCACACTGTATAGTATAGCTTTAGACCTTTTCAAATATACCCTCAAAATTGGGTGACGATTCATCTTTTCATTTTGTCTGATGCTGTCATAGGCAAACACACAAGCATTCCATTTCAGTTAAATAAGGAAACATGGACCCAGAAAGAGAGTGATGGCCTGAGGTCTCACAGCCAGGTCTAGGGCAAAACTGGCCCCAGGTTCAGCTCTGTTTTGCCCACATAATCCTCAGCCTACCTCAGACCTTCTCTTAGGACTTTTACCAGTGCCTATCTAAGGAGCTCTGGTAGCGTAGTGGTTACGAATCAGGCTGTGAACCTTAAGGTCAGCGGTTCGAAACTACCAGCCACTCCGCGGGAGAAAGATGAGGCTTTCTACTCCCATAAAGATTTACACCCTTGGAAACCCTGTACAGGGCCCCTATGGGTTGGACCCGACTCGATGGCACTTAACAACAACAACAACAATCTTTGGTCAGCTGACTCCCCAGGTTCTATGTACCCTGCGATCCTCAGCTACCAACATGGTTTGAGGCATGCATCAGACAGACCCTTCCAGAACTGTTGGAGAGTGTGTATTGTGAGGGAATAAACTGAAGAAGAAGAACCATAGGTTTGCAGGATTCTACGTGATCATCTCTGGAGGAATACTTCAAAACCATCTCGACTTAGATACAAGATGGCAAATAGCATACATGCCATCATTCTAAACACTGTTCATGGCAGACATAACTAATCAAACCTCACTTTCACTATCATCCATTCTTCTCTAACCAGATGGTTGCATCAGCTTCATCCCTATCTCCATTCTAATATCTATCCTGCACACTAGAGTTAGATTGTTGTTGTAAAGTGCCATCAAGTCAGTTCTGACTCATAGCAACCCTTCATAGGGTTTCCCAGGAGCTGCTAGTGAGTTTGAACTGCCAACCTTGCAGTTCAAATCAACCTTGTGGTCCAGTGCTTATCCTACAGCACCACACCAGGACTCCAGGGTTCGATTGTTGTTGTTGTTAAGTGCCATTGAGTCGGTTCCAACCCATAGTGACCCTGTACAGGGTTTCCGAGGCTGTAAATCTTTACGGGAGCACAACGTCTCATCTTTCTCCCGTGGAGCAGCTGGTAGTTTAGAACTGCTGGCCTTAAGGTTCTCAGCCCGATTCATAACCACTACGCTACCAGAGCTAGATTAATCATCCTTAAATGCACATTTTTAGCCCTGATGTGGCTCTGTTGAATAAGAATTGGATTACTAACCACAAGATTGGCAGTTCAGACCCACCAGCCACTCCTGAGAAATACTGGGTTTCCTGACTTCAACAGCACTTAACAACAACAACAACACACATTTGGAGTGTTGGTTCTGCCACTTCCTCTGACAAGCGTCTTCTCCTCATGGATCTTTTGTTTCTTTGACTGTAAAATTAAGGGGTTGGACCATAGGATGGTACACACCCAGCTCACCACTGTCACCTTCCATTTCAATATTACTGATTACATCATTCCTTCCTGCTGAACTCACATGTGACCTCAAAATCTTCTATCAGTTGGCCAGTGGGGACACACAAGATATAATCTAGTTAACATCCTACAACATTCCAACTTTTTTCTCCATTTTAGAGATGGGAAGTTTGAGGCCCAGAGAAGTGAGCTAACTTCTTAGGACTTTGCCCTGAGTGAGACTGGGGGAGGGTGGGTGGATGGGAAGTGAGGCCTCACAGACACTCCAGCCCTGCAGCCGTGTTAGGGACCCCTACCTCCAGAATAGACAGAGCTAGCCCTAACACCTGCCTTTGCCGGGACAGGTCCGGGAGGCAGATCTGAGTGACCAGTATGATGCAGCCTGCGAGTCGGCCTGTAGCGAAGCTGAGTCGGCCGCGGCAGAGGCACTTGACTTGCAACTGCCCAGCTACTTCCGCTCCCGCAGCCACAGCTACCTGCGGGCCATCCAGGCAGGCTGCTCTCAAGAGGAGGACAGTGTCTCCCTGCAGTCCCTCTCCCCACCGCCCAGCACCGGCAGTCTCAGCAACAGCCGCACGCTTCCAAGTGAGTCCCACAATGGTAGGGAGAGGGTTTCTTCAAGGGGCTCCAAGGGGCCATGCTTGCTGGGCCAGCCCATGAGGAATGCTGGGGAGGAATTGTGGTGGGCTGCCAAGGACTGGAGGGATGACTGGAGGCCTCAGGGTTGAACTGCAGGCCAGCGGCAAATTGGAACTCAAGTGGGCATCACTGAGACATTTGCCACCCATGGTGTGGGGACTTGGAAGGGGCAAGAATTTATGGGGTCCTGGTGTGGGGTCCTGCAGGGTGGGTGGACCCTGCCAGGAGAAGACAGCATCTGCTTTGAGCCTTCTCAAAGGGCTTGAGAAATAAACTTACCTTTCCTGGTTTTTGTTCTAAATACCCTGAATATTTGATACATGACTGATCAGAGAAGAAATGGACTTTGAGTCCAGAAGGCCAAGGAAAAAACAGCTGTTTCTGGTTTAGTAGAGAAGGTTTGGGGCTTATTCTCTCACTAGCTAATTTTCCTCCTAAGCCTGTTTTTCTATCTATAAATTGGGGCTAAAAGCTAGACCCCGGAGAGTTCTTGGGAAGATGAAATAGGACTGTTCGTTAGAAGGTTTCGCTAGGGCCTTGCACATGTTAGGACCTTAACAAGGAGCTATTATCACTGGTTATTATCACTTGACCTTGACGCTGAACTTCCTTACAACCAAAGCCATGCAGGCAATTGGGGTTGGATTGTTGTAGGAAATGAGACAACGGTTTCAACAGTTCAGTTGATGTTTGTATGTAAGTCAATTAACATAAATCCATGGATGGGGAACCAGCGTATTGACTAAGTGTACTAGTCTTTGCTGGGGAGAGAACAAGACAAAAACTTTATTTGTTTTCATAATTGTTTTTGAAATCCACTCTGATCTTCCTGCTTTGGACATAATTCTGACTCATTGGGCATTATCAGACTTCTGTGCGACCATGCCCCGAAGTTATCTGGAAGCTGTTTGACCAGCGGAGAGAATCTACTCTATGTACTTTAATAATTTCAGAGTGTTAATAATAGCAGTAATGGATAAAGGAGCCCTGGTAGTGTTGTTGTTATTGTTAAGTGCTGTCGAGTCAGTTCTGATTCATAGTGACCCTGTATAGGGTTTCCAAGGAGCCACTGATGGGTTTGAACCACAAACTTTGTGGTGTGCTGTCCAGTGTTTACCCTGCAGTGCCACAGTGAGTTACAAATTGGGCTGCTAATTGCAAGGTCAGAAGATTGACTATGCCAGCGACTCTGTGGGAGAAAGAGGAGACTTCCTGCTTCCATAAAAAGTTATAGCCTCATACAACCACCACCACCTCCAATAGGTAGGTTTCCAGGTGCGGTGCTATAGGATAAGCACTAGACTACTAACCACAGGGTTAATGCACTGGACTGCAAAGTCGATTTGAACTACAAGGTTGGCAGTTTAAGCTCACCAGCCGCTCCTTGGAAAGCTTATACAAGGTCACTATAGGTCGGAACTGACTCGATGACACCTAACAACAACAACTAACTACAAGGTTGGCAGTGCAAATCCACCAGCTGTTCCTTGGAAACCCTTTACAGGGTCACTATGAGTTGGAACTGACTCAATGACACTTAACAACAACAATAATGGGTACTGCAACTGAACGTCTAAGTTTGTGGGAGAATTCTTTTAATATCTTTGAATTCCCTATTTTCATGAACTTTCTGAAACCCCCTCATACTTCTATACCTACTTATGTTATCATTGTGTGCCCTCAAGTCAATTTCGACTGATAGCAACCTTACAGTACCGAGAGGAACTGCCTCATAGGGTTTCCTAGGCATTCATCTTTATGGCAGCAGATCACAAGGTCTTTTCTCCCCTGGAGCAGCTGGGGAGGTTCAAACTTCTGATCCTTCAGTTAGCTGCCAAGTGCTTAACAAGGAACATCACCAGGGCTCCTTGAACCTACTTATAAAAAGACAGAAAGTTTTGTACCCTGAGCCATGGTGACATAGTAGGTTACACACTGAGCTGCTAGCCACAAAGTCAGCGGTTCAAATCAACTAGCTGCTACGCAGAAGAAATAGGAGGCTTTCTGCTCCTATAAAGATTTATAGCCTCGATACCCCATATAGGATCGCTATGAGTTAGAATCCACTGACTGACAATGGGTTTGATTTGGTGTTTTGGTAGGACTGGGAGTCCTGGTGTGACGCTGTGGGTTAATGCGCCAGACTGCAAAGCCGTTTGAACTGCAAGGTTGGCGGTTCAAGCTCACCAGCTGCTCCTTGGAAACCCTATACAGGGTCTCTATGGGTCAGAACCGACTCAACGGTATTTCCTAACACAACAACACATGATAGGAAAATAGATGTGAAAATACATGCATACATATTACACTAATACGTACATACACTCACATGCATGTGTCTCCTTCAAAACTCATGCCACCTCCACAGCTGTGAGCAAATCATGTCTCTAGCAGATTGGAGCCACCACAAAATTTCTCACGTGGACCTCAGGAGGCCTCCCATGCTATCCTGGTCAGGCTTCCCTTCAGTTGTCCTCAGAGACCACTACTAACTTGCTCATTTCTCCTCAAATTTTTGTTCCCCTCACACTCAGTGGGTAAAGTCACTACCTCACAGGGAAAACCAAAGCCACCCAGGCTTCAAGCCTGTGCCCAGAGCTGCAGCTGGTCCGTACAGTACGTTTGTGCTGAGTTAGGAAAGGGCGTTCCTCCTTAGACATTCAACTGCCATCTGTTTAAAAACTCAGAATGTACAGCTTTTATTAGAACAAGGTCCTTGACTGCCATCTGCCAGAAATTTGTTGTAATAATGATGTAATTCAGTTATGTCTATGCTGTGAGCAACACCATGCCTATTTTACCTGGCATCCTTGATCCGTGTAAAACATGTATGACTATACATGGCAGTCCTGCCGATAGCCACCTCCTTCCACACAGACACACACCAACACACACAGGCAGCCCCTCACTAAGCCACTGTCACCCCTGCTCATAAGACTGCTGTAGCTCCTCAAGTTCAGTCCACCCAGTCTGTTCTGGGAGCCCTGGTATGGCACTGTAGGATAAGCACTCGACCATATGGTCTGTTTGAACCACAAGGTCAGTGGTTCAAACTCACCAGCCACTCCTCAGAAACCCAATACAGGGTCATTATGAGTTGGAGCCAACGTGACAGCACTTAACAACCACAGGAACAAGTCTATTCTGAGCCCCCAAGTTCCTGAGGAGGACACATAGGCCCACATGCCATGTGAGTCTGGTAGGTAGACGGAGGTGAGGGGCATTACTAAGGCAGTGAGAATGTGGTAGGGGCTGGGCTGCTCAGAGGGGCTGTGGGCAGGGCACTGGGACTGCCCACTCACCCACCCACGCAGAACTGGCCAGCTTCCCTTCTGCTAGCACTGCTGCTGCCTCCAGCTTCCTCCCTCCTCCTTTCTGACCCAGATTCCACATTCCAGAAATAGCTCTGGCAGGTGACTGGCAGGCAGGGAGCAGCTCCATCTGGGAGGGTGAGGGAAGCAGCAGGTTGGCTGCATATCCAAGTCTCTCCCAAATCCAAGTACCGACCCAGGAGGGCCCCCCACCCCAAGGGACCCCAGGGGTACCCTCGCCTCCCAGTCTGCCCTTCAGTCTGAGTCTCCTCTCTCTACACCTCCCTCCCATGCCAGCTTTTCTCTCCCCTTGCTCCTCTTTCCTTTTCTCCTTCCCTTTCATTCAGCTTCCCTTCCCCCTTCTCCCTCTCTCCTCTTCCATCTTGGCCTTCTGTCTGTCTTCCTCAGTCTTCTGTCTCTCTCCCCCACACGCTCTCCCTTTCTTCTTTCTCAGTTTCTGGCTCTCTTACCCCCCTCTCCATATCCCTCCCACTCTCACTGAATCACAGTGAAGGCTGTGACATCACCCAGGGGCTCAGCAAGCACCATGGTCGGTGGTACTCCCAGCCGTCACCTGCATTCTCTGCATACACACACACACACACACACACATACACACACGTAGGTACCCACACTTGGGGTCATTCCTTGACAGTACTTGAGGCTATGGCTGAGCTGGAGTAGACTCTATACCTGGGAAACACCCTTGTCCCTTGTACGGGGGCCCTGAGTTCTAATTTCAGCTCTGGGAGTCCTGGTGTGGTGCTGTGGGCTAAAGCACTGGACCTTCAGGTCAGTTTGGACCACTAGCTCGGTGGTTCAAACTCACTAGCCGCTCCTTGGAAACCCTATACAGGGTCACTATGACTCTATGAATCTGAACCTACTATGAGTCAGAACACACTCATTGGCACTTAACAAGAATAACAACATGTGACTCTGGGTGGGTCCCTGGGTGGGTCCCTGCCCCTCTCTGGACCTCAAAATCTCTGTGTTGTGAGGACCTGGGTCTGACAACCCTTGAGCACCTCTTATCTGTGACCATTTAAGACCCTTACATTGATTGCTCTGCCCCTCCCTTCCTGGACTTCTTTATTCGCCCCTGGAGCTTCTCTGGTTTCTTCTCTGATTCACACCCACCACCAATAGACACAGGAGGGGAAGCTGGCTGAATTCCAGGAAGCAGCCAACCATCAAGTAAACACCCCCCACCCCCTCCTCTCCCATCCCGTTCCCTAGCACCACCCTCAGCTCAGCCCATTCAGTCCCCACCCCCACCCCCCACCCCCAAGTGCAGGAGCTAAGAGGAGCCTCATAGAACATCTTGTCCAGAGATTGAAAATCAATCTCAACTCATGTGTCATCGCTGATCCCTGGAACTCAGAACTGAGATGGAGTTAAGCAGAGAAGTATGTCACCCTTACATTGCTTTCACCATCAATTAATGATATCTGCCATGGTAAGGCTAGGTACATGTCTGCCATTCCTGATTTAGCCCAGCTCTTCCTAACATTCACACATATGGACAAACACATTTAGACATTTTACACACTAAAACAATAGCCCAGAAAAGATGAATGACTTGCTCAAGGTCAATGAACTGAGTTTCCCAGGTGGTGGATCTGCCTGACTTAA